GGTTTCTTCGTCCGTGCTGCGCTTTTCTGCTCCGCTACACGCTTCTTCGCTCGCGCACTCTGATCATCAAGAGAGAGCAGCAGCGGAGAGATTATTTTAGACACATCATGCAGCAACGAAGTACATTTTTTTTTACGATTGAGATATCTATATAAAACGCAACCGCGTCGCTCAGCGACAGCATGGCACTCATGACATAAACAGCAGCAGTTGTACCCGGACCAAACCATCAGTAAAACAATAATAGCAGCAGCAGAACTCTTGAAATACCAGACACACGACAGCACGCACGCACGCACGCACGCACGCCGCGAAAAAAAATTGCCCGCGAAAAAATATTGCCTGTCTCGCACACACACCTTTTTTTTCTCGGCCGAATTTTTCTTCTCCAGCTCCTCCATCTTCGCCCCCAGAGCATCCACCTTCCGCTGCAGCCTCGCAACCCTGAACCTCTCGAGCTGGAGCTCATCCTCGAGGTTACGGATGCTGCCCTCCTCCGGCGTCGCCGTCGGTTCGGTTTCGAGCGGCGCGTCGAGAGACCCCCAAAGCACGGCCGTTGTTTTGCGGAGCTTTTTTGCGGAGCCTCGCAAACGGGTCAGCTCTTCTTTCATCTCGCGGTTGCTGTCCTCCATCCTGCGCCGCTCTGCCTCCGCCTTCGCCTTGTCTCGTTCAGCCTCTTGCTTCCTCCGCTCTGCCTCTTGCTGCGACCGCTCTGCCTCTGCTCTCTTAGCCTTCTCCTCCCTTAGCGCCTCGGTGCTCTCGCGCGCGAGCTCCTGAGCCATGCTGCACTCAGCGGTGCTTGCCGCCTCGCGCTGTTTACTTTCGACCAACTCATGCTCCTTTTCTGTCAGCGCTTTCTGTGCGGCGGCAACACCGCCCCTTTCGACCGCACGCCGTGTGTTTGACGCTGCGCAGGCGGCGTACACAGACTGCCCCGACGCCTGTTCGTACTTGGCTTGGTTTTTCCTGAGGTTCTTCGCGGCTCGCCTGCTGCCGCCACCAAAAACGCGCCTCTT